TTCTGGTTCATCCAGGTAGAAGTCCTGGCATGACATAATTATGCCTGAGCGCTTCTAGGATATATAACACGTTTAGCATTTCAACCCGTAGCCGTAAAAAACAATTAGGTAGCTGTTCTATATCCTTTCTGGTTCATCCAGGTAGAAGTCCTGGCATATAATTATGCCTGAGCGCTTCTAGGATATATAACACGTTTAGCATTTCAACCCGTAGCCGTAAGAAAGCAATTAGGTAGTTGTTCTATATCCTTTCTGGTTCATCCATTTAGAAGTCCTGGCATGATATCATTATGCCTGAGCGCTTCTAGGATATATAACACGTTTAGCATTTCGACCCGTAGCCGTAAAAAAAAATTTAGGCAGTTGTTCTATATCCTTTCTGGTTCATCCAGGTAGAAGTCCTGGCATGATATCATTATGCCTGAGCGCTTCTAGGATATATAACGCGTTTAGCATTTCGACCCGTAACTGTAAAAAAGAATTTAGGCAGTTGTTCTATATCCTTTCTGGTTCATCCAGGTAGAAGTCCTGGCATGACATAATTATGCCTGAGCGCTTCTAGGATATATAACACGTTTAGCATTTCAACCCGTAGCCGTAAAAAACCATTAGGTAGCTGTTCTATATCCTTTCTGGTTCATCCAGGTAGAAGTCCTGGCATGACATAATTATGCCTGAGCGCTTCTAGGATATATAACACGTTTAGCATTTCAACCCGTAGCCGTAAGAAAGCAATTAGGTAGTTGTTCTATATCCTTTCTGGTTCATCCAGGTAGAAGTCCTGGCATGATATCATTATGCCTGAGCGCTTCTAGGATATATAACACGTTTAGCATTTCGACCCGTAGCCGTAAAAAAAAATTTAGGCAGTTGTTCTATATCCTTTCTGGTTCATCCAGGTAGAAGTCCTGGCATGATATCATTATGCCTGAGCGCTTCTAGGATATATAACACGTTTAGTATTTCGACCCGTAGCCGTAAAAAAAAAAAAAAATTAGGCAGTTGTTCTATATCCTCTCTGGTTCATCCAGGTAGAAGTCCTGGCATATTATTATGCCTGAGCGCTTCTGGGATATATAGTAGCAGTTTGACCCGTAGAAAAAACAAACTCAGCCGTTCATTTTGTAGGAGATATTTAAGCGTTTTTGTCTGTGTTAGCAATGTGATCGACTTTATGCGCAGACCTTAATAATATGTTTTTTTCTTTGACGGCACTGAATAATTTTAGCGGAAACCTGAGCCGTACATTTGTTGAATGCCGCGCTTTAATTAAATTTCTCGCCCTAGAATGATGACATGATGGCGCGAAAATTTGACGCCTCTATCGTATTAGATGCGAAATATGATCAGAGATAAATGGAATAGTGAATGTTACAAGCTTCTGAGTATCCAGCTGAGATAGGGGACTTTTAGTCCCCTATCTCAGCAAGATAAACAAAATTTTTTTGGTTGCTAAGACGGTGCGGCTCGTTATGAGTCCTACCGTACGCATCTGACTGTTTTCGGTCGCCGCTTGTCTCCTCAACTGCAAACCCACGTGTTCATACCGCTCCACTTAGCTCCAATTCTGACCATTTCTGCTTCCCTTGACAACAAATAACGTCCCACGGACTTGAGAATCAAAGTTCGTCCTGGCAGGGTCGCCAAAATGTTACCCTCGTTGCATGAGTCCACAAATAAACCGTAAAACTTCTTTACACTTCACATGCTTCACATGTTTATTTTCGTTTCTTTTTCTCTCTCGTCACTCGTTCAGCTCGCGCTCTCTTTTCTGATAACCCGGATGAATAAGTCATACACAAGACTCGTTTCCGCTTCCGGTTGTTTTGTTTTTAGTACAATCTCTACATGTAACATCTGCGATCTAAAATGTCGCCAGAAATTACGTCCAATGATCCTAGAAGGCTCATTTTACATGTTTAGAGCAATGTATCATCATTTAATTTAAGCACAGGAACAAATATACTCACGTTTTGTACAGAACATCAAACTCCCCAAACCCACGTTCTCGACGTGACGTGGTGACACCAGGACGACGGCTTGAGCATGCGCAACATGTCTCCTCTTTGAAAATTTACTTCCTGTCGCGTCTTACAGCCGTCGCGTCCCGGATCTTAAATCTCATATCCAACGCGCCCTCGTGGAATAATTGTTAATTAGCCAGTCAGCGTGCGAGATATAATTCAGTTATTGTAAAAAAAATATCCTTTCTATAGTTTTTTTGCATTTTGTTAACTTATATTTGAAACACCAAAGACTTTCAATCTTTTACCGGAGTAGAATGACTCAAAACGTTGTGGAATCTAGACTGACATCTACTTCGAGAAAAAAAAAGCCGATTAGCAAATGGCACGTTGAATTGACATAGTGAAAATACCCTAAATTTGAATTTTTTTTCATGACTAAACAAATGTTTGATTTCAATGTATAAAATGGGCATATTATAGGTTGAGTTCAACGTGATGTTTTGTATACTCTCGACTGCGTGATGAAATGACTGCACTACGTCCGAAAATTAGCTCTGACCAAGAAACTTTAAGTCAATTTTTCAGGCTATCAGCCTGTCCGACAAAGTTAAGAGGAAGGTTATTCTTCGTTTTATTACAAAGTTCTAAACAGAGATATCAGGAAGTAATCATGAGGTGAGTGGTATCTTGAGGGAAAACCAACCGTGTAACTGTGATTTTCAGTGCTTATATTAGTTGTATTGGCGATAGAAATGAACAACATTTATACCTAATGTAAAGCGCTCATAGATCAAGGAGGGTTTTTTTGCAGTGGTTTTTTTCCATATTTTAGCTTTTCATACCGGTAGTATAGATCCACGGTCTAGCCAAATGTCCTGTGTGTCACGCAAGTATATATTATCACTAATCTGCAATAATCAATTTTTTTTAGCCTAAAAGTGGAAGTTTAAGTCATAATAATATTGCAATAGAAAAAAGGAACGGAAATTAAGTTACACATTATCTTTTAACAGAAATTTTACAAATGTTTAGGCAGTGATTCTTACATAATTTGCCATGTTGTCATTATGCAAAATAAACATCTGTACAAAGGGGAAAATTAACTCCAGCATATCTTGAATTTACCCCTGAAAAGAATAACTCTAAGATTTTGAACGTACCTTTTGTAACCTATGCTTATCTGTATCAATATTTCCTCCTTTTGAAAAAGAACGAAAATAACAAATCATTGGACCTCTTCATGGTTTCTGAGATAGAGAACGCGTTGGAACGAGAATAGTTATTTACCTTTGTCTCTCGGAAGTCGTTCGTCTTGAGATAACATGGGGTAAAAAACCTATGTTGAGGTCGCTATGAAGGAGAAATACGGCGAAAGAGGATAATTCCCTTGAATCGCAAACTTTATAGCGAAACATTAAATTAAGTCGAGGTTGGAGAATTAAGAGGACCACTCTGAGTCTAAACAATAAAGGTTTTTACTCTCAAGGCTCTAATACGACTAGAGGCGATACAGTACCGAGTCCTTGAAATTTCTTTCTTTTTTTCGGCGTTGAGGAGTATAACACGCTGGCTTAGCAGAATTCTAAAGATCGTTGTGTGATCTTATGCGAACTAAATTGTAATCAAGTATCCTGATTACAATTTTGGGATCTCAGTATAATTGGTAAATGAAATTCAGCGTATCAATATTTCAAGCATTCAAAAGTAAGAGGAAAGTGTTTGTCTTTTAATACTTTGGTTAATTTCTTGACGAAAACACTGCTTCTAATACAGTAAAAGCCATGAAAATTTTGATTTTAAGCAAATATTCAGACGTTATAAGCAACCTAAATATACATACAAGGGAATAAAAAAGTGTGCGGACTCGATAAACTGAATATTGAAATGCAAATCTGAACAACTTGTTAATGCCACATAACTAACTCGCAACTGTTTTCAATTAATATCTTTTGCTTCATTGCTCGCTCTGTAAAGTGGCCAGGGTGAAGCCGGTAAATCCTTCGCTGTAACAAGCTACACCTCAGTGGGGCAAGATGGAACCTTCCTGCCCGCTTGTTTCGATGGAATGTGCGTGTTCGCCAGACTTAATCATCTAATTATGGAAAGAAAAAAAAATTCAATTTTCTGTGGTCGAGATTCGCTCTAGATTATCTTTAAATCAAAATATTAACTTTTGTTGTTGCGGGGGTAAATAAAATAATTTTTCGGATTCAAAATAATTCAGTAAAGCTTGCATCATGGAAATGATGAAGTCGGCTATCAATTTCGTGACGGAGACCTCACCTAATAACTGTCCGTGAAATTTTGGGCCACATAAAACAAATGATATAATCTTCCTTTGGTTTATTTTCATTCAAGATTATAAGTGCTCTAGGATCACAAAAATTCCCGTATTCCTCAGTGGGTTGTTGTGTTTTTTGCCTTTATTATATATAGTATAAAATATCCTGACAGATCAACTGGAAGCGTTTCAAAGTTAAAATTTTAAGTCCTAAAATTATTTTTGAAAACATAGTTTTAGGACCTAAAGGGAACAGAAGAACAGAGGAACCTCTTCCCCAGCATTTTTCAATACATCGCCATAGTAGTGGTGACAGTGCAGTGAGTGGACCTACGTGCCTACCCCTCTAAGTTTTTGCATAAATCTTACAATTGACTACCTCAAAGATCTTTACCCCCTACCCCCCACCCCCCCAAACAAAGCAAATAAGATCTACTAAAAGCGTAAAAACAAGTTGGACTATATTGCCACGTACTGCTAAGAGGTATAATGTTCAACAGAGTGGATTTTTCTTCATTTGAAGCAAGATGTGTACCAAGCAAGAAGTCCGTGTGCAGTTGTTGTCGGCTTTCTTCTTCGTAGCTGCACTTTCTTACCAAGACGTTGAAGGTATAACTGAAAGAGAATATTCATCTCTGTATTTTGTTTTGACACTTATTTTTATTTTTTTTACTCTTTTGTATTTCCCAGCGCTGAGTATCAAAACTGGAATATGCAATGTCACCATTACTACTCCTGGTGTGTTTGCGTGTGAAAAGGTTTCCTTTGAGAATCGTTTCAATGGCGGACAGGATGTGAAAGTTTTCGTTTCCAAAAGCCACGCAACAAAGAGTTCTAGTGGTGGAGATGGCGCGGCTATTTGGGTGGAATCTGTGGATAATAAGGAGTTTACAGTTTGTGTTTTAGAGTACGGAGGTGGTTCTAGTAAGACTACGAAAGTGAACTGGATGGCGCTGCAATCTGTTCCTGTTGGCGCTCAACTAGACACCGTCTCGTTGGATTCTTGATCCACTGGAGAAAAGTGTAAAAGGATCGCCTTTGAAAAGGTTATCTCTTTCTCCTTACGATTTCTTCGTTCATTTAAATTTAATAGTTTTTTCTGATTTCGGTATTTCTGTTTGCTCACACCTAGACACAAGATTTCACTACTTTATTTTTTGAGCTTTGCTTGACTAAGTGGCTTTAACTTCCTCTTTCTTTATTTAGCTTCTAGGAGCTGCAGACTTTCCATTTGACTTCTTCCTTATATCTTTAAGTCATGCGATATAACATTGTTGCATTATATAATACGATTCTTTATACGGTTACCAAGACCTTTAATATATTGCAACCTCTATTTGTATCCTTCAAAGTTATGTTGCAATCTGTCCTCCACTTATCTTTCATTTTAATTTTTTTACTTACATTTATACATCTTTAAAAAGGTTTACCCATCTTCATATTAAGTTTTTGCTAATTTTTGCTTTAAAAAATTTAGTGAGAAAGTCTATATTTCGATTCCTTTTGTTTCTACGTGGCCAAGTTCATGATAATCGTTATATTTACAAATTCTGTGTTTAATTCCTAAAACTCTTCTTAGTTTTTCATCTGCAAAAATTCTACTCAATTTGCTTCTTTCAAGTTCAGAATGATTTATTCTATCACACTTCCCTCGTTTTGTATCATATCCTTGTTTGTGTGAAGAAGAAATGTTATTGATTATTTATTTCGTTCTCTTTTACTTTTCAGCGTTTCTCAATTCCTCCGAGCATCTATGCAACAGCTCGTCACCAAATTCTCAAGAGACCTCAGGACGCCTTGGCATTGTGGGTAGAGGATGTACGCAGGGACAGTTTTAAGGTTTGCCTCAGGGAAACTAAGATTTTTGATGGTCTGCATAAAAACATCAAGGTGGTAAGTGAATTTCTTTTGTTACCTGTTACATGTTTGAAAGTAGACACACGAAAAGATGATAATTAACCAAACGGTTCCTGTCTTGCTGCAACTTACAGGGGCTGTGCTCTAGCAGAACCCAGTGGTCCCTGGCGCTCTACCCATGCTCTTTGCCTACTAATACTTTTTCGCTTGTCCTTTAGGACTGGATAGCATTTGTTAAGCTGATGACGCAGAATTCTACCTTGATCCATGGCCTTTTAACAACAAAGAATAACTCGCCACTAAACAAGCAACAAAACAACGCTCTCTGTCAGGTAAAGTAACTAATCAACTATACTGTTGTGGTTTCTCAGTCACTTATATTCAGAAATAGAAAATCTTTCATAAGTTGATGGAGCTCTAATGTTGTTATCGTCAACTATTTAAACAACATATATCATATACCGCATATGTGTAGAAAAACTTAATAATGCTCATTCTTTTCTTGTTTTTTTTTAGATAATAAAGTTCACTGATGCTTTCTATGCCCCTCCGGTAGTAATGGTTTCACCAAGACTCAGTTACCATAACAACAACTCGCGTTTCTCGGCTTCCGGAACTTGTAACGCAGTTACTGCGTGGATTCAGGTAACAAATATGAAACTTGGAGCCATTTTTCGTAGTCCGTTGCTTTCTTTGGCTGCCTTCTTATCTTTTCCCTTCGAACTTACTTTTAGAATTGTCTCTGTTTCAATTTTTCATGTCGTTTAAGGAGTCCAAAAAAGTCTTTTTTTGCTTTGTTCAAACCAACCTGTGCACGCCACGGTTTCGCTTTCTAAACGACCTTTGGTAGTGACATGAGTTAAGGTAAGAAAATACCTGATGATGCTTAATGATTGATAATCTGATAATTCTTATGATTGTGTCTAGCATACCTTTACAAACGAAACCGAGGTGTGTATGAGAAGATACAGCAATAACGCCAATTATAAGGACATCGTACAACTGGATTACCTGGTGATTGGAGGTACGTAAACAATATGTCAAAACCTTGGTGAAGGCTGTATGCTGCAATGTATCAAGTACATTTTATGACATGAATCTTTTGAAGTTGTGTCATCGAGAGCTTTTTTTCTCTAATTGATGCTATTTTTTGTTGTCTCTATTTTTGAGGATTGTAGATTTGGTTGACTGAAAGAACACGTTACTACAATAAATTCGTCGCAATAATTTTGTGTATTCAAGAAACTGAGATTTTTTTAGAAAATTTTAAAGTCTACATTTCTTTGGCACACTGGTTCTCCTGATCACGAAATTAACAGGCTCATTTGTGACGTCATGAGACAAAATTTCAGGAACTGAAAAACGGGATCATATCATTCTTATCCCTTTCTTAGAGTCGCCAGTGTTGTTGCATTTAACCGCAATGCACCTCATTGGCATCTTTTCAGCAAATTGGAAAAAAAATTTTGTAGAATCCACACTTTTTTTCTTGTATCTAAAGTCACGCGTTCCTTAATTTACGTTATAGTTTCTTAATCTACGTCAGTGTCCCTTTGTTTCCGAGAGGCATCCGAGTGAAGACTTGCACGAATGGTGTGCCAAAATGGCGGTAAATTTGAACGTGTCAAAAAATTTCTCTTTACTGACATTGTGTTGAAAGCAATTTTTTTTGTCGCGCACGTTCTCATAATAATCTGCATTTTCAATTCCAAAAAACTAGTTTATAAGGTATGGACACTTTAAATGTAATCTGTTGTTATTTGCTTAATTTATCTTCAGACTTAGATCCGTGCATAGACGTCACGTGTCATTATCACCGCTTCTGTAAGGCGTTTGGACCCCATGATGCACGCTGTGTATGTGTGGATAGCTGCCCATCTTACAAAGAACCTGTTTGCTCATCAAATGGCACAACATACGATAACAGATGTTTGTTTGAAAGAGAAGTATGTCTCCTTCGACTAAACTTTACCGTGCAACATCCTGGCAGCTGTGAAGGTTAGTACAGTTGTTTTTGAGTCTGTTAAAAAGTGATTTTTGTTTTTATTAGATTTCAGTATTAATCCCTTAAGGAATTTTTCGAATGAGTGGTTTACTTGCCTATCTAATCTGGAGGGAAAAACGGCGATAGATGCGTAACTTTATGTTAAAACGTTTGACAGGAGCAACGCTAATAAGAACACTGGTCCGAAAAAGTGGCGGATACACTTATTATATGTTTTTTAAAACATGCTTAAAAGCATTTTCAGTTAATCCTGAGCAGCGAAAATATTTGTTTTTTTTTTTTATATATATGTATCACTGAAGCAAATCTAAAACTGATTCTTCTCTCTGAGATTAGTAGTAGTAGTAGTAGTAGCAGTCGTTTTCATTTCCTCGGACGTAGCTCTGCCTAACATTGTAACAAATCTGGATAACCTTTCCTAGAGTTTTAATTTTTTTAAGCATAACTGGAACTGAATCTTTTCTCTGCGGGAAGTAGTTATTAAAATGGATGTTCAAAGGGACACTGACGTACCTACAGTGAATGTTCACTTTCCTTTCCTTTAGCGCTAATAGGCTTAAGCAGTTGCCACGTCGTAGCTCTGCTCAAGATGCAAGTTCTAATCTCTCCACTGCTTGCCATGCTATTGATCTAATGCAGTGACAAGCGACACATTGTCCGCTGCGAATTTCCCTCAGGACTTCTACAGTAGAGAGTAACAACCCTCTTTATAAGAACCACTCATTTGTGCTTTGTTAACATTTTTAAGTTCTGGGTAAATGCCCTTTGCTCCGCATGCTTGTCATACCAATCTATAGTTCAACCTGAAATGTGTTTTCTAGGATTTCCTTTACAGCGTGGTCGTCGCCACATGCCACATATTCCATCCTTGGGCTACTCTCACTGTCAGGCCATTCATTTCAAACCGTTTGTGTTTTACCCTGACAAACCCATTCAAGTGCAGATAACTGTCAATCATATGGATACCAGTGACAAATCGTATGTCCATGACGCGGCAGTATCGTGGGTTGAAAATGTGAATAACGACAGCTTCACTGCCTGTGTGATGGCTGCAGGATATAACGAACGAAAGTCGTATGCTAACGTGACAGTTGATTGGATGGCGTACCAAGGTGCTCCAGTGGGTGGCGTGGCTGGTGAAGTGCGCATGTCACAGTGGTGGACTGGTACGACTTGTGCGACTGTCGTGTTTCCTACAGTGAGTGGCCTTTGTTGGGTTTTCTTGTCCTTTACATTCTGTTCAAGATCATATCTTTTGAAACGCCTCACTTCTACTGAGGTCACTCAGTTAATAACATATCGTTTTTAACATGCGTCAGTAATGATTTGTTGTTTTAGTGCAGCCGTACCCTTATGACCAATAGTCGAACAATGACATGGTACTACAAATTATTCTTTTACCAATTTCCGGCATATCGCAAATCTCATGGGTTCCTTTTTGCAAAAATACAAAATTGATTCCTCTTCGTAGCTTTCTAAGAGTGAAGAGTTGCCTAACTCGGATTTATTTTTCAGGGAAAATTTTCTGTGATACCGTCGGTATTTGTGACTGCCAAACATTACAACCCAGGATTAAAACGTGACGCAGCAAGCGTATGGATTGAAGATGTCACACAATCATCCTGCAAAGTTTGCTTGAGAGAATTGCAAAACTACGCTGGATCACACCAAGACGTTGTTGTTGTAAGTATAACGCTTATGTCATGGAACGAACAGCTTTTTTTGTTTGAAACTAAGTGCAGTAGACTGGTATCCTTCTCCACCTCTTCTTTTCGCTTTTGTACACTTCCAGCAGTTGGTCCAGCGGGGATGCACGATTTTTTGCTTGAAAATATATTTCCTTCCATTTGTTTTATCTCTTAGCCATTTCTCTGCAAGTTTTCATCCGGCTTTGTCAACCCAACCATGTTATTGCTTTCTTGTAACATGAAATGTCGGTGGCTGTTTTCTATAAACCTTATTGATATATTACCATTTATTTTCGACGTTGAGACAATCTTTCGGTTAGGACGTGATAGTGAAAGAGAATTCTTAATCTTTCTTTTCATTGTTATTCATTTACGTTATTTCAGAATTGGTTAGCTTTTTCATACCTTGACGAGCCTCCCTTCTCAGAACACAATTCGATTTACTTCTCGAATGATAAACCTCCCGCGCAGAGTCATTATAATGCCTTCTGCAAGGTCAGTATTCCAGTCCTTTCATTTGTCTTTTGGGTTTCAATTCCTGTCACAGTGCAGTTCATTTTATTGAATAAATTTACAATCAGAGAGCAATAGCAAACGGTTCCCCCTATCATGTCTCTAGTGATGGTAGTTGCATTTAATCAGTTTAGCAGGCTGCCTGTCATATTTCAGTGAATATTTAAAATGAAAATGAAATATAGCTTATAAATATCCTAATGTGGAACAAGTCTTAACCTTTTTATAAATGTCAGAGAGTGAATTTTTACAATCATGTAATTTCTTTTCACAGGACGCTACTTTTACTAAAGTTTATAACTCAACTCCACATGTGTTTGTTTCTGCCAATCATTCCACCAAAAATGGACGTCAGAGTCCAGTTCATAACAGCATAGCTGAGTGGGTAGAGGTATGTTTTTATTTATGTATTTGTTTATTTTTTCATTTATTTTATGAATTTCTGTAACATACCACTTTCAACCACACTGACATGTGTTGTGTGGATGTTTAAAAACCTTATGACGATACGAATGACTGTAATTAACACTGTCTACTTTACAAAACAGATAGGGTCTTATTGAGCACAACAGCTTATAGAATACCAAACTTGTGAAAAACAGTACAAAAGTTAAATTTTATCCGTTTAACTAACGATCAGGCGTAACCCTAGTAAAATAGCCATGAATTATGAAAAGTTGTCAAACCAGTGTATTTAAACTTGAAATCTGTTTAGCTGTATAGCAGAAGGTAAGCCGCTGTTTTGTTTTTCCGGCAACCAAATGTTGTCAACAAAAAGCAATGAGAAAACTAAAAAGTGATGCTAAGCTAGAGAAAATGAGCTAAGAGAGCGAATCCCTGTGCCCCATAAAGATTATTTAAAATTAATTTAATCTATTGAAAGTTCGCACGCGTGCGATGAAAGTTATTAGAGAGTTTTAGATTTGAGTTTACCGCGAACCTCTAACCGCTTGAGGTCACGTGACAAGTCTTTCGCGTCACGTTTGAGGTTTACGACGTGCGTTTTCAACGTGGGGAGGTAGGTTTTGACGTATGTCATTTACCTGAAAGCTTTTAGTGTATAATTCTTGTTTTATTCCACGTAATGATACAAAAATCTTGTGGAGCAAGTCTTTATCCATTAACAGAGGCACAAATTCGAGCGAAATGCTAAATTTGATAAATCTTATTGGATCTTGAAAACAAGTGCCATTCATGGCTGCTGATTCAAAATGGCTGCCGTAATCTAATCCACCGCCAATCTAAATCGAATTATGTTTGAACGTCGAACCGTAAAACAGGGTAACCGCAAACCGCGGTTAGAGGTTCGAGGTAAACTAGGATCTAAAACTCTCTACTTTTATCGACTGTTTCCGTGACCCCCGCTGTCTACTTTCCCGTGAACGCGACATGTTTCGCCGCCAAACATTTGAAGCTTGACAGTAGTTATAGCAATCATCGCATGAAAGGTTTAAGTTGTTGACATTTGATAACGCGCACCCAATTGTCCTCTTTCCTCTTTCCTTCGTAGCCCTGTCATGCAAACTTGTTGAACAGGGTTGATCAATTCAATTCAATTCAATTCAATTCTTTATTCACACTATACAAGATATTTACATAAGTGTACATAGTAGGAAAATAAAGTAGCTACAAATAATAATTAACTAAAAAATATTAAGTTCATTTGTGTAGGGTGTCCAAAGTAGCAAGAGCTTTCTTGTTGGACACCGTCATATTGAAATAATTGGCAGCAGTAAGGAGAGATATAAAATCTCAAATAAAATCAGTGATAAAACATATAAGTAAGGTCAGATTTGGTTGGTCAGAAGACAGGACTTCCATTCTTTCTTAAACATTCAGATAACCTTTCGCATCCATCACTATGAATTAACTCGGAAATTAAGTGGATATGATAGGTTCAATTCACTTTCATGTTCACCACCAATTCGCCATGCTGCCGCCATTCACCGATATGCCCGAATTTGATCACTTCTTAACATGCGTCAAACTGAGAAATATGGAGAGGGTTCTAGTCAAGACCTACCTGAACTGTTCTATAGTTTTTTTTCTACAAGCAAGGGAGGAAAAACGCCGTTTGCCTTCTGCTGAATGAGCTGATAAACATCCCTTTCTTGTAGTACATCAACAAGACAGGCTTTCGTGCTTGTGTCAAAGAATTATATGAAGCAAAATATGACCCATTGTCAGTAACGTACACAGTTTTGTCAGGTAAGAGCTCTACTGCTACAAAACTAATAAACTTCAATACTTACCAACTCTCTGAATAACAAAAAAGGAATACAAGCAATACGCAAAAGGAATGCACAAAAACTGAAGGAAATAAAAAAAATGCATTCGGGTGATAACGAAAAACAACGTTCATCTCTTTTCCAAATACATATTAATGTGTATAATGGAGTGCTTTATAATACTTGCAGTTGTTTTTGTCTTAGGTATTGCCTTTATTTTGTCCTGAACACAAAGCTTCTGCTTTTCCATTTCCTTTTTTAATGGCAAAAAAAAAACCGGAAATAACAAACATGTTCGAAGTACATAACTGCACCTAAAGCTATATATTTTAAGCAATATGATTATACAGTTCACTAATTCCTACTTTGTATACGCACAGACATCTGTCCATCTGGATGGGATTACTTCAATGGATACTGCTATTTAACAAGCTCTGTATGCGCACCTTGGGTGACTGCTGTGTCCAACTGTTCAGCAATGAACTCACACCTGGTAACAGTGCACAACCAAGACGAAAATGTCTACATACAGCACCGTCATAATGGAGAGAGATCATGGATTGGACTTAATGACCGAAGCGTTGAGGGATCATTTGTCTGGACAAACAAGGAAATAACCAGTTTTCGGTTCTGGGCTCCGCAACAACCAAACAACTGGAAAAACGAAGACTGTGTTCACACTCTGGGTGCCAATGATGGCTACACTTGGAACGATGTGTCCTGCGATAACTGCTATAGCTATACTTGTGTTCGAGGTAAAAGCTGTCCGTTTTACAACTTACATTAAATGATCTGTTAGTTACCTGAGGTAATCTTATCTTCTGTAAAGGGTTGTGGTTCACTTCAATATTTGTGCTAGGAATGTAACCAAAACAACGAAAAAAGCCATCCAGTGTTAGCGCGCATGAATGTAGAGTTTCTTTCAGTCATAGTTAGTAGAGAAGAGCAAGGATGGCGCAGTGGTGAGAGCACTCGCCTCCCACCAATGTGGTCCGGGGTCAAATCCTGGCGTCGACGCCGTATGTGGGTTGAGTTTGTTGTTGGTTCTCTTCCTTGCTCCGAGAGGTTTTTCTCCGGGTACTCCGGTTTTCCCCTCTCCTCAAAAACCAACATTTCCAAATTGCAATTCGACCAGGAATCAGGTAGACGAAGAAGCATTATGTGGATGTGCTACCTGCAAATCGTTATTTATTTTTTTATTCATTTAGAAGACTGGTTATGAAAGGTGGCAACAAGAATTAAAGCTTCAGATTTTAATAAAGGTTCTGCAGTTTATGTTTGTAGCTATCTTCTTTTTTTTTTCACAAATTGCGAATGAATAAATGGATGCAGCGCTTTTATAGCCTGTGTACAGCAGACGCCCCCTCCCCTTTTGTTGAGGTGAGGGGGCGTCTGTACACCGTCTACGATTGGTGAAAAGGATCAAAATGATGGGAATGCTATTGAACGTTTCACATCGTCGGCTGAGTCAAAAAAAACTCTAACAAAAAAACATAACGGTATAATAAAGATGCTTGTAGGCGGCTTTATAGCCATTCCACTTTTTAGTGGAGCTTGCTTTAGCAGAGCGAAACTCTACAAATGTAAGCGTTTTTTTTTCCGTCGGTCCGTCTGAAAAAGAGGGTATGCTACCAGGCGTTCCTAACGGACATTGTGGAAACTGAGGATAAGAATCGCGATGACTTTCATTGTATGCAAATGAGTCTTGTGATGAGCATGCGGGTTATTTTCGGCGATGACTGAAACGACGCATGTAAGTTGAACACGTTTCCGCTGTTTGGCAATGACGTAATTTTTCCCAAATCGAGGCCCTTGATTTTCGCTTAATTATGCACGTGTATTAAGAAGTTAATACCCCGAGTAGGATGAGAAAATGTTATTGTGGTGTATTGAGGCGTTACGTTTCTCAGAATATTGTCGCAATTACTGCAACTCTACGATTTATAAATAGATTCACTTTGTTCTACGCATTTAACTGATAGATTTTCGCAGTTGTTAAGATGTGAAGTCGCGTTGCACTTTATAAATACTTGAGATATCAATGATTTAACCTTCGAGTACTACTGGAAGCAACTTCAACTACGCGTCTGACGTTACGTATGTATCGCGGATGTATTTATACGGGTAGCTTTGTACTTAAATATCACGCACTCTTCTTGCAGCACTTTATGTCCATAGAATAGAAATCCCATATCGAGCTTTTCCGGAACGGGTCGGTCCGCGAATTCTGCGGCTTGAAAGCGTTGATTACCTTGGAACAACTGATTACTTCAGGGGTCGAAAAAAAGAACAATCTTAATGAGCAAAACTTCGAGGTTTACTGGAAAAGCGGGAGCGAGGTTCGAGGATCAAGGATGGAGGATGAGACCGATCCAGATCGGGGATAGAGAATCGGTTAAAAATAAATGAATGACAAGTATTTTTAGGCTGAAGTTTAACAACAACCTTGTCTCGTTTGAGAAAACAGATTTTGTGACGTCACGGTCTAAAGAGTGTCACGTGATCCTTGGGATGAATATTCCAACACTATTTTAGTGAGATATGTCTTATCATATCTTTGTGGAACCCTTTACTTGGATCTTTCTGTGTCATTAAAGAGGATCTTTGCATTCTCTGTGGGGGATCTTTTTAGTCTTTCAACCTATGCCTTAACTTGTTTTGTACAATTTACAGTAATTTCCTTTTTCTTTTTAAGAGATTTTCATGAATTCAAGTTGAGAATATCATTTCAGAAAACAACGGCACGTAGCAAGGTCATCAACCATCGCAGATGTGAGTTAATGAAGCGCCGTGATTTCTTTCAGAAATTGAGAAATGCACAACTAACTATCACAGATGTAATGTGAATGCTGCTTGCCAGAATACCGTGGGTTCATACAAATGTACTTGCAAAGCTGGATACTCTGGAAATGGCCGCAAATGCGTTGGTAAGTACTGAAGTTTGCTTTAGACATCCATATTTTGCCCTAATACTTCGCAAACTGACTGACTTCATTCTTTTCTGACGTTGTTTGTTAATAAAAAAAGTAGTTTCCGTGTCTTTAGTATCTTTTTACGTACATCATACTCTATATGTACAATGCTGTAATTAAGTTTTTCAGTTATCTATTGTAGTCGTAAATTTCTTATAGGCTCCCAGTCTAAGGCGGCAAACCACCAACCTTCAGTGGGTATTTAATGGATTTTGAGCAAAAATGTATTTTGCCCTTTTGCTTCGCAAACTGACCGACTTAGTTGTCCTCTCCGTTGATTTTATTTATAAACTAAATAAATATGCTTTATTGTATAAGTACAGAACTGTTATTATTGTCTCTATCTTTTGTGGTCAAAACTTTCTAATAAGCCCCGGTCTAAGGTGGAACTAACCCTTAGTGGATGGATTTTGAGCATTATAAGAATACTTGCACTAATGAATGGAACAACGTTTTACACGAATTTTCATTCCTTCAAACAAAATTATTACGAAAACTGGCAGGTGCACTTCCGTTTGGGGACATATTTGTTTTGATTTTAACAATTTCATTGGTAATAACGTTATAGTTTGAAGGGAAATTTGGAAGGAAATGTCAAGGAAGGTATGGCTTGTTGTTTTCGGCTCATGAAATCACTGTTTTATAATTTTGTCTTTGTTTCTAGAAATCGACGAGTGTAAGAGCAAAACCCATAACTGTGACAGAAATGCGTTATGTAAGAACACTGAGGGGTCCTTTACTTGCATCTGCAATCGCGGTTACAAGGGAGATGGAAAGAAGTGTAGAGGTAATTATCTAGCGCTCTTTTATTAAAGGTTGGTTTCAACTGTCGCGTAATTTTTACGTGACTGCGTGAGCGTGTTAGTTTTACGTACGTAAGTAAAATAAGGGTTATGTATGAAAGGTCGCTAAAGGTAACAGTTGACCCTTGCTAAACGTTACCCGCTTTCATTTTACGCGCATACTCACCAAAATATTACGCGGCAGTACAAATCCACCCTAAGTTCTTAATAAACAAAGATAGTTTACACATCCAGCACGTGCGTTCATTCCATTGCTTGTATTTATTCTCCCTGGCACCGGCTGTTCAAGCGTTGGATAGAGCTTTGCATCGGATAAATCACTACACAGTGTAAAAGATAAGTATTAGAGAAACTATCTGCGCTATCTACTGGATGGTGATTTATCCAGCTTTTGAACAACTGGGCTATGTAACTTCGTGACCCCACCATTGATCCGCACAAGCCATCGGCTTTACTGTAACGTAGAGTTAAAAGAGTAGAATGTCAAGGAAGAATTTCTAAAGTTATATTTACTTGACTTGTAAACGCATAATATATATATATTTACTTGCCTTGTAAACTTGCCTTGTAAATGCAATTTATATTTGTCTTTGTTTTTTTAGAAATCGACGAGTGTACAAGCAAAATCCATAACTGTGACAGAAATGCATTATGTAAGAACACTGAAGGGTCTTTCACCTGCACATGTAAAACTGGTTACAAAGGAGATGGCAAGAAGTGTAGAGGTAATTTTAAAAAGCGCTGTTCTTAATCACCAATCAGTTAGTCAGGCCGACATCTAACGAAAGCTTCTATGTTATTCTACAGCAATTTTAGAAGATCGCCATATTTGCATCAGGCATCCTCGCCGTAAAATAAACTGCGCAATTTAGTTTTCTCTCTTTTTTCAGATATAGACGAATGCACAAGCAAAACCCATAACTGCGACAGAAATGAGTTATGTAAGAACACTGAGGGGTCCTTTAGCTGTACCTGTAAACCTGGTTACAAAAGAGACGGGAACAAGTGTAAAGGTAAATATCTCAGTAGCACACGCGATTATCGCGTTCTCTGCTTTTATTAGTTAAACACGTTTATCATGGATTCTTAGCTATGAACTAGAAGTAGCCTACGCTACAGGCTTAAGCCGGAGAATCTGTTCACATGCAGTTATTTTTTAATGATTTTCGTTCCTAATAGCCTCAATTCAAAGTTACCTCCAGCAACGGGAATCACTGTTCTTCTGAATGAATGAAGGCAAGCAAGATCCGGGAAGCCGATTACATATGTACCTGTATATTAGTCCCATAGATTATAAGTCTCTTTGAAAACGATTGCAGGCTTGATTAATTTAGTAATGGCGCTTTGCGAAGTTATCCTCACTTTTTCTCTAGTTTCATTTTACGCAGGCAAATTGTTAAGGTATTTTTTTAAAATTCTGTCCTCAGCCATTTATCAACCACGTTTTCTTCTTTTATTTTCACTTAAAGTTTACACGAAGATGAAAGTGAAATTCTCGTTTCTCCAAAGAAACTTTGCAAACTTCTTCCAAACAACGAATTCTTCAAGGTTGATCTCTGATGCTGATGTCTTGATTTTTGTTGTAGCGACACGCGGGCTGATTTCCTACGATCCCGCTCAATCCTGCAAAGAAATCAAGGACTTAGGTATCTCCAATGGCGACGGGGAGTACTGGATTGACCCTGGAAGGACTAAAAGTCCTTTGAAGGCATATTGTGACATGACAACTGACGGAGGTAGGGTTTTACTTGAAGCTGACACGTCTTTTATGCTGCTACGTCTTATTGCCAACGAGGCATCCGAGCGAAGACGCTCGGATAGCGAGGCGGCAGCAGAATAGAGCTGCGCAAGACTGGGCAATAGGCAGAAAAATTCTCGATCGAACTGAAAAAAGTGTAACCCGTAAATTCGTAACCCGTAACCTGATGTAATGTAGATTCCCCTGAGACCAAGCGGTCAGTTGTGAACCAATCAAAAGGCAGTACCTAGCGCACGGGCTCAAGTTGAATGTGGTAGCTTTTTAAAATACAAAATTTCACACAATTCCCGCCGTCACGACTTCCTGTGTTTATTTACCTAAATTTATTTGTCAAACCTGGCCACTGCAGTCAAGAAACATGAGCACTTGATATATTCTATTAATTTTCGGGGCCTTAATGTTAACTTTTAACGAAGAGAAGTTTGTAAAACAGCAAAAGTGTTCTATGTGCAACAAGCAATATCCTCACCACTAAAAAGGATCAGATTACACGAGGAGATAAGGAAAGCTTGACACGAAGACTGACAGTCGCTTCCGTAGGAAAATCTGGTGTCGGGGAAAAAATATAACCAGCAAACAAAAAAAATGAGAACAAAAACGAATTACAAGCCTAAAGCGAACGACAAAGGAAAAGAAAACAACGCCATTTTTTTTGAAACCTAGCGGAGTTCAGCATAAAAAAAATGAACTAAAATACCGACGTGCCGTACATTCGCATGTCTTAGGAAACATTTCAGATGGCCTAGCGAATCATTCTAAGTTTCAATCGGATAACAAAAAGCCTCGGGAAATTTGAAAGGAGGTTTAAATGATTAAAGTGTGCAAATATTTATCTACAATGTGAAACCGAACCGGCAGTAGATTTGTAGCTGGACTTAATAATATTCCCGATCGCGTCCTCTGCAAAGCTGATTTTATTCTTTCAAGACACTTCACACTTTTACATGGCAGGTTTGTAAAGGCACCAGACTGAATCTGAGAACTGATTCTCCTCCGGAACCTCATAAAGTGTTACATGCATAACACCTTTTCAAGAAAATAATCCTTGCAACAGGAAGGGACCAAGAAACGGTCAAATGGGGAAAAAAAGAATTTTATTCCTAAGCAAAATACGCATGATTTGCTCGTTGGCACTCTATCGATAGGTATACCTAGTTTTATAAAGTAAGTTCAATAAATTCCCAATAACTATATTGGTATTTCATAAATTCATTTTTTGCGCCAGCCCTCGTTTCGGGGTCAACTTGAAAGACTAGCATCTGCTTAGCGAATCACTGATACGCTCCTTCCTTACCAACCGAACACAAGCAGTGCGCGTTGACTCCTCCCTGTCATCATGGAATCAAGTCAATGGTGGCGTCCCACAGGGAACAAAACTCGGATTAACGGATTAGTCATGGTAAACAAGCTGATCATGAATTGGCATATGCGTACGAAGTATGTCGATGACACTACTGCTTTCGAGATTATCCCAAGAAACTCTATTAGTATGCTAGATGTAGTTGTCAGAGAAATCCATGATTATTGTATTGAACACAAGATGAAACTGAATCCCAAAAAATGTAACGAAATGTACGCAAGTTTCATGAAGAATTCGATTACTGCAATGCGACCTATAAGTGTTGGAAATCAAGAAGTAGAGCGAGTAGGGTCGTATAAGATTTTAGGAGTTATAATTAGCGATGACCTTAAATGGAACGCTCATGTTGAATATGTAATTGCCAAGGCGGCTAAGACATTGTACGCTCTTAGGTTGTTGAAGCGCGCGGGAGTCATGCCAGAAGACATGCTCAAGGTATACACTTATAACATCAGATCGGTGTAAGAGTATGCTGCGCAAGTATGGCAAAATATTCCTGCATACCTTTCTGACGCTATTGAATCTATACAAAGAAGAGCCTTAAGAATGATATTTCCAAACTCTAGTTATCAACAAGCTCTAGACCAAGCAAATTTGACATCGTTAGCAGATCACATGATATTCATATGTAAGAAGTTGATGGCGGATTTGAGGAATGAGAGCGACCCCATAACTTTCTTAGCTCCACAAGTTATGACAAGATCTATCCCACATCAGTTAAGATCAGGAAATACTAAAACCACTACAACAATGAAAAGGACAAAGAGCGCTAATGACTTGTTTACTTTTAGGTTTTCTTGATTCCAATTGTTATTGTAATACTTATTATTGTAAATAGAATTAATTATTAGTATCCAGTTGTAAATTGAACTGTTTATTCAGTTTTTAACTGCCAGAAGTGTTAATAAACTATTATATATATCTTAGTTCGCGTGAGTGATATTTTGATATCACTCACGCGAAAATAAGGCTTACAGAGGTTTGGCTGTGTTATTTCCCTTAACTTGAACTTAACACCACTGCTTGTTTTGGCCTACATAACTGATAAATATTTATTGAATTTCAGGGGGATGGCTTCTTGTTTCCAACATTGTTTCGCACGGTTCGTCTACAACTCAGTTGCCAGTTAAGACATCGTATCGCGGAGTCAGCAGCAGAGAGATGGTGCTCACAAAAAGCGCCATGAAGGAGCTGAGAAAGCACTTGCATTTCACTCAGATAAGATACCACTGCAAGAAAAGAGGGGGTCGTAGGTTTCACATCACTACGGCTGCTAACAGCAAAGGTGAAGCTGCTGTCAAATACCTTAGTGGTGAGACAGATGTGATGCCTGCCTCTTGCGGCTCGTTTGTGATCATGAGCAATGACAACTCGCGGTTAGCAAGAGTCTGCAAGGACTGGGGATACCAAAGACGTTCTTACAAAGTTGGCAAATGGGGGCACGAGAGAGATCAGAACAGATTATACGATCACCCTGCTTTTACAATTGGCCATATCTGGTTTCTTTACCCTTCTGGCCGATGGGAATGCGACGATCAGTACGTGGGAGTGTCTCCTGGTGATTTTTGGAAGATTTTCGTTCGCTAGGAACTTGATAGATGGAAGCCACTATGTTAGAAGTATTTCAACGTTGAAAGAGTTGTTTCAAGACAGCCAAACAAATCGGCACTATTCAACACCAGGATGTAGAATAAAAACTAGTGAATAACACTACTATTATGAATAAAAGTAATAGTAAAAGAATCTGTAATGGCTTTTATTAGATACAATTAAATAAAAACTTTAGAAGTGGGTAATTCATTTGTGTGGGTTTTACTCTTAAAGGGAAACATGAAATATGTGATTTAACGTTGGTAGCTGTTGCATCATTCAACTGAACTACCTCTCCAGTATGTTTATCATCCTTATGCCAATATAATTAACTGACCAGTAAAAATTCATCTTTCTGCAACATTTTCCCCTCTTGCGTTTAGCGGCACCTTAAATTATTGAAATGTTAATGTGGTTCTAATTTTTTCCTAACCGCCGCCGATAAAAAAGCTTTTTAAAAAGTTAGTTTGGATATGGCATTTACACCTTAAAGGCGATAATGACAAATTATGGGTGAAAGTGATCATTGTTACTTTTAGGTACATGAAGTAGGGGTAATTACATGAGACCGGGACGAACTAAGACCAGTGTGAGTTCGTATCGCTCTCCATACATTTCTTTTCATGCGTTTACATGGGACTGGCCTAAAAACGAACTCAGAGCGGTCTGACTTCGTGTCGGTCGCTGACCCGACTGACAAGTTACCGGTCTGAGACTGCACCGTTCTCATGTAAAACGGAAACGAACCTAAGACAGGGTCCATAGATAGTATGTTTCTTCGTATGGCTCTATCAGTTTTGCTTTTTCGTGGCAAAATACGAACACAGCTATGAATAACTGTAAACAAGACTTGGAAGTAGCTTCAATTGAATATATGCATCGATGAACGCTAGGGATTGCACCATTTTAAGATGCTGTGCATTTAACATGCCACCAAATGAGCGTTAGATAAAGTTTACAATTTTCTGGGAGCAGTAAAATCTACGGTTCTCTACTCACTGACTTAATTGGCGTAAATTGTGTACCAGTTAGGACAGTTAGTGAATAATATGTTACATAATCGACTTAAGAAAGTTATATAGCTACAAGAATCTCCTGTTTTTGAGTTTGTACCGGTCTCATGTAATCAACGAAGCGTTTCGTCCCAGTCTCATGTAAAGGACTGCAAAAATTACAAATTCGTACCTGCCTGAGCTCGTCCCGGTCTCATGTAATTACCCCCGTAGTCGCCCTGGATGTTCTCGCAGCAAGCAATAATGACGTAGAACTCGTTGAGACTCGAATCCTATATTGTTGCAAGACTAAAATCGTCGTCTCGTGTTGATAGCGTGGGAATAGACTCGACCGCGATTTCTCATATTGGCAAATTTTGTCGCTTGTTCTCCCCCTGAAATACGTAGTGACATTGCTTTTTTCCCATCAATCATAAGGCGCAGGCAAAGATAGCAGATATCGTGAATTGGGTCTAAGTAATAAAAACGTAAAAAAAACTGGAGACTCCATACAAGAACATAAAGTTATAAATGCTTACAACTAAAATTATTCTTTAACTTAACTCTGTGTTGTATTAGCTTTAAGTTGTAGCAAACAGTGGTGAGGTACCTTAACACCCACCAATTGACTCTTGCGCTTGGGCGTGTGTGAGTTCTTTTTTCTTTTTCCAGGGGCTTGTGATCTTTTAGAATTTCAAAGTCTGTTCCATAGACGTACATATGTTGCTTCACACATGCCCATACAATACCCAAAGCTTCTCTTTAAGTCTGTGAATAGCCGCTTTCGACATATTATTTTAGACCTTCGGCTAGCATAACCAATCACTTTTGACCATTTTGTACGTGCCTCAAGACTGCACCAAGGCGTCCTATAGGGCTGGCATTGGTTATGAAGCGGGTTTCTGCATCTTTTTCTATTTGCTGACCTTTTCGTTTAATAGTTGAATGTCCCACTGATATGGTACGTCTCTGTTCAGATACTGTGGCTAGATCAAGATTGAACCTGGCACAGACGTTTACAGGACCTAAGAAGCTTCGCACTTCCAGTGGCGGATCCAGGGGAGGGGCCCAAGCCCCCCTTATTTTTAGACCAAGCTGAGGCCCGAAGGGCCGATAACATATTTTTTGAAGACAGCCCCGCCCCTCCTTATCTCAAGGTCTGGATCCGGCACTGACTTCTGCTACTGTTTCTGGTTTAAGTGCTTCTGCGACTGCCTCAGCCTTTGATTGGATGGGTCCAATATCCCATGTGGAAAGCAGATTTCCCATAAACAGAATCTCAGACATGTGGAACTTCCACTTTTCCGTGTTTACCGTTAAAACCTTTTTTCTGGATCATTTCGAGGGCTTTTTCAACTCAGGTATCATGCTGTTCGGCTATCGCTCCATGCATTATGAGGTCATATGTTTCTCACGTCTTCACAGCCTTCTAATACCTAAGTAAAATTAAGTTATGCCGTAAGCAGGTCCAATAGCCCGTGCGGAAAGCACATGTCCCATAAACTCAATCTAAGACATGTGGGACAAGGTCTTTGGGGATTGTTTGACCTCAAAATGCTCCGAGCATATATGTACGTGTTTAATGGCCTCCATCTCCTTATCAGCCCGAAAACAAAAGGCGATCCATTTCTCGGAAAATAGAATAAGTGAAAGGAAGTCTTGCTTTTTTACAACAGGGATACGGTTTTAAAACATATTTAAATTCTGGGTAAATGTCCATTGCCATGCTTATCATACTAATCTATAGTTCATCTTGAAATGTGTCTTCTAGGATTTCCTTTTCAGCGTGGTCGTCGTTACATGCCACATATTCCATCCTTGGGCTACTCTCACTATCAAGCCACTCGTTTGGAACCTTTTTTGGTTTACCCGGACAAACCCATTCAAGTGCAGATCACTGTCAATCATATGGACACTAGTAACAAATCTCATGTCCATGACGCAGCAGTATCGTGGGTTGAAAGTGTGATTAACAACGGATTCACTGTCTGTATAATGGCAGCAGGATAGAGCGAACGAAACTCGTATGTTAACGTGACAGTTGATTGAATGGCGTACCAAGGTGCTTCATTGGGTGGCGTGACTGGTGAAGTGCGCATGTCACAGTGGTGGACTGGTCATTCTCGACCCAAGTGCTTACGGGTTCTACATGCGCAGAAGAGTTCTGCGCATGGTGGACTGGTATGACTTGTGCGACTGTCACGTTTCCTACAGGGATTCCTGGCTGTTGCTGGTTTTTCATGTTGTTTCAAGATCATATCTTTTGTAACGCCTCACTTCAACTGAGGTGACTCAGTTAACAAATTGTTTTTAACGTGCATGTAATGATTTGTCGTTTTGGTGCAGCCGCACACTTATGACCAATAGTCCAACAATGTCATGGTAGTACAAATTATATTCTTTAACTGATTTCCAGCATTTCACAAATGTCATGGGTTCCTTTTTGGCGTTTGTGTCACAGGAAATGTGCAAAAATAAGAAATTGATACCGTCGGTATTTGTGACGGCCAAGCATTACAATCCAGGGCTAAAACGTGACACAGCTAGTTCATGGATTGAAGATGTAACACAACCATCCTGCAAAGTTTGCTTGAGCGAATTGCAAAACTACGCTGAATCACACAAAGACGTTGTTGTTGTAAGTAACGATTATCTCGAAAAATCAACTTTCATCAAACGATCAGCTTTTTTTATTTGAAACTAAGTGCAGTAGACTGGTATCTTTCTCCATTTCTTCTTTTCGCTTCATTTACGGTTGCAGCAGTTGGTCAGTAGGGATGCACAATTTTTTGCTTGAAAGTATATTCCCTTCCACTCGTTTCCTGTCTTAGTCCTTTCTCTGAAGGTTTTCGGGCTTTATCAACCCCACCATGTTATTGCTTTCTTGTAACCTAAGATGTCGGTGGCTGTTTTATATAAACCTTCTTGACAGATTACCATTTGTTTTTCACCTTGACACAGTCTTTTGGGAGACTGAAAACGAATTATTTCTTTTTATTGTTATTTATTTATTTATTTACTTTATTTCAGAATTGGTTAGCGTTTTCATACCTTGACGAGCCTCCCTTCTCAGAACACAATTTGGTTTACTTTTCGAATGATAAACCTCCCGCGCAGAGTCACTATAATGCCTTCTGCAAGGTCAGTATTCCAGTGCTTTCATTAGTCTTATGGGTTTCAATCCACGTCACAGTTCAGCTAATTTTACTGAATAAATTTAAACTAGATAGCAAACACAAGCGTCCCCTGTAACCATCAAGTTGCATATCCTTAATCATCTAGTGATGGTAGTTGCATTAAATTTCCTGTCAAATTTCAATGTCGGATATTTGAAAGGAAGAGGAACACGTAATATAAATTTTAAATGGGAATGTGGAACAAGTCGTTAGATTTCGAACGTAGAGTGAAAAGAGAATGACAAGAAAGAAATTTCAAAGTTTTGGCTCCTCGCATAGTGAACGTAAAATTAACTGCGCAATTTAAGTTTCTCTCTTTTTTTCAGATATAGACGAATGCACAAGCAAAGCCCATAACTGCGACAGAAATGAGTTATGTAAGAACACTGAGGGCTCCTTTAGCTGTACCTGTAAACCTGGTTACACAAGAGATGGGAAAAAGTGTAAAGGTAAATATCTCAGTAGAACATGCAATTATCGCATTCTCTACTTTTATTAGTCAAACACATTTGTCATGGATTCTTAGCTATGAACTGGAACTAGCCTACACTACAGGCTTAAGACGGGAAATCTGTTCGCATGCAATTATTCTTTAATGATTTTCCCCTCTACTAGCCTCAACTCTAAGTTACGTCCAGCAACAGGAATCACTACTCATCTGCATGAATGATGCAAAATCCGGGAAGCCGATTAGCTGTATATTATTATCATTTTAAGTCTCTTTGAAATGATTGCTGGCTTGATTAATTCTGTAATAAAGCTCTGCGAACCTATCTTCACTTTTTCTTTTGTTTCATTTTGCACAGGCGAATTGTTAAGGTTTTTGTAA